TGTTTTTAGTTGGTGTTTAGTGCTGATATCTATTGATACGGTGGAAACTCACTTGCGCTTTGACAGGAGTGTGTGAATCCGTATCGTAGGCGTGAGGCAATCAATACCTGTCCACCATTCATGAGTCGACTGTAGCTCGATGTGGTCTGTGAAGTGTAATGCTAATAAAACAATGATCCATCAATCAAATGACTATTTCTTTCATTGACGTCAAACTTTCTCTCTTTAACTCGCATTATACCGTCGTTGGCATTGCTGCGCAACCAAGGCAGATAAACTTAATATGTCTACAACTAGCAATTTACAGACAAAAACAAAAATATTGCTTTAAGATTTTGAAAAGCAAAAAAGAAAAAAAAAACTACGGATAAAACATACGTCAACATACACCAAAATCGATTAATCATGATAGATCAACTAGCAGTAAAGTTATATAACTATCGCTCAAAGTTACTTTTTCCAGAAATTTCAAATTAGTCTTGAATTTGTCGAGAGCGGTTCAAGCATTGGTCATTAGCTCTATGCTGCTTGCAGGTTAATCAGTGTAAAATTGTAAAATATCTGTCGTATGTATGTCAATATAGAATAGGGAGCAAGGGAGCAAGGGAGCAAGGGAGCAAGGGAGCAAGGGAGCAAGGGAGCAAGGGAGCAAGGGAGCAAGGGCATTTACTTTAGGCAAACGGAGCTAAATTTCATGATTTTTAGTGGGAATCAAAGGAGTAGGAGTATATTTTTGGGCTCACAAAAGAGGAGATAATTGACGGTAGTCAACACCAATCATAAACACCACATTACGACATTTTACCATTTCTTTTACACTTTATGAAGTTAACGGCGCTAAAAATATACATTGGAGTTCCTGTGGTAAACGTGTCGCGTAAACGTGAATGCTGTAAAGTGTGTAAAAATTCTTAAATGGCTTCGTATGAAGCCGATAGCGATGGAATTAATGATTCTCTTTCTTTTTGGGGAGGCTTCAACTTTTATAACTAACCTCGATTCTCACCAGCCCAAAACTTATACTCGGCCAAGTAATATCATACTCCTTTCGCTGTTTATGCCTTGTTCATTGTAAAATGGAGGATGAACTTTGATGGAAAATGGAAGTTACATCGATTTATCAAACTTGAATACACGTAAAATAGATGTCTGATAATACGGTGCAAAAATTGCTAACCGTTTGCATGGATGACAAAACACCTGTATCATTAAAAAATACCCATTACGGCCGTCCAAAAATGCTTAAAACTTAGTCGAAAAAGGAATGTCTTGTAGAAAGAGAAATTGCAGTTTGGGAAAACATCCCGGACGCCAGACATGTAACGCATGTACACATGATAAATATTGTTTCAAAGTTCGAATTCAAGCTCATGGACGCATTTCTAATTTTGCTAAAATGTTAATATTACATGGTCGCTCAGGGAAAGCGGAGACGGGGGGTGGCTGAGGGGGCAAGTTGGAAACCTTAATAAATGTGCCAGATACTGAAGGATGAGGGTCCTATGGAATAATTTGATTGCATTCTTTCCGCAGTTAAAAAACTATCCAAAGCAGAAAAAGTTAGTGGGGGCGGTAACCCTATATGCAAACTGTTGACAGTCAATTCAGTTAGTATATGCTAGTGACATAATTGCTGACAGTTTGTTGTTCTAATTGTGAGATCGTTTCAAAAGTTTGAAGACAAAAATACCAGTATGTAAATACAATTTTAGCTTTTCATTAAATATTTTTGATCTTGCTGTCGACGTTTGGTCATTAAAACCAGTATACAAACCCAGAAAGTAATCTAGAGCCGCCCATAAAGTTCTGACCTCCATTCAACCATCATCCCGCAATGTCGAGTCTTCAGATGTTTGCGGTCGCCGTTTTGCTTTCCTGTCTGAGTTATAGCGTTGTTGGTCAGATCAGTGGGACAGTCTGAGATCTTTCAAAGTAAAAGACTTTCTTCCAAAAAGTCAGATATCTTGATAAAAAGCAAGAAAGTAAGCAGCAAGCTGGAGTGTACAATGATTTGCTCCAGGACAGACTCCTGTCGCTCTGTCAACGTACA